GCGACCTCTGCTGTGCAGGGCCACGACATCATCGGCTTCGACCTGGAGGTGCTGCTGCAGAGGATCGCGGCGTTGAAGGTGCCGCACTGGAGCAAGCTGAGCCGCCTGCGTCGCTCAGCGATGCCTCGCCTCGGGGTGAGCGGGTCGACCGTCTCCTCTCTGAGTCGTCCTCTTTCGGAGTCGTCCTCTCTCTCTCTCTGAGTCGTCATCTCTCTCTCGCTCTCTGAGCGTCCTCTCAATCGTCCTCTCTCTCTCAGTCGTTCTCTCTCTGAGTCGTCCTCTCTCTCTGAGTCGTCCTCTCTCTCTCTGAGTCGTCCTCTCAATCGTCCTCTTCTCTCTGAGTCGTCCTGTCTCTGAGTCGTCCTCTCTCTCTCTCTGAGTCATCCTCTCTCTCTCTGAATCGTCTCTCTCTCTGAGTCGTCCTCTCTCTCTCTCTGAGTCGTCCTCTCTCTGAGTCGCTCTCTCTCTCTGAGTCGTCCTCTCTCTGAGTCAGCGACGGTGGGGGTGGTGACGGTGGGCGTGGTGTCTGTGACGGTGTGTTTGGTGTCCGTGACGGTGCGGGTGACCGTGTCCGTTGTGGATGGGGGTGGTGTGTGTCCGTGACGGTGCGTTTGGCGTCCGTGACGGTGGTGACGGTGGTGACGGTGGTGACGGTGTGTGCGCCGTGGCGTGGCAGGGCCGGCGCGTGGTGTTTGTGACTGTGGGCGGTGACGGTGGTGACGGTGGGCGTGGTGTCGGTGCGGGGGTGACGGTGCGGTGGTGACGGTGGTGACGGTGGTGGCGGTGGTGACGGTGTGTGTGGCGTGGCAGGGCCGGCGCGTGGTGGAGCGCCTGGCGACTTGCGGGCGCGTGGTGTGCGACGTGAAGACGTCGGCCCGTGAGCTCGTGCGCTGCAGGAGCTACGACCTCGACGAGTTGGTCGCCTCGCTGCTCAGGACCAAGCGGGAGACGTTCTCCGCAGAAAGCGTCGCGGCCGCCTACGCGTGAGTTGGTGTGTTGGTGTGTGCGTGTGTTGGTGTGTGCGTGTGTTGGTGGGTGCGTGTGTTGGTGTGTGTGAGCGTGTGTGTGCGTGTGTGTGTGTGTTGGTGTGTGCGTGTGTTGGTGTGTGCATGCACGTGTTGGTGTGTGCGTGCGTGTGGTGTGTGTTGGTGTGTGCGTGTGTTGGTGTGTGCATGCGCGTGTTGGTGCGTGCGTGTGTTGGTGTGTGTGCGTGCGTGTGTGTGCGGGTATCGGGTACTCGGTTGCGACCTCTGCTCCATCCTAACCCCCCCTGTCCTCACCCCCCCCCCCCCCTTCCTCCTGGTTTATAAATAACCATCATAATCGTCCCTTCGTTCCACAGCAACTCGCAGCGCCTGCTGGACATGGCGTCGCACACCCTCACCGACGCTGCACGCGCTCAGCATCATGAGCGAGCTCAACGCCCTGCCGCTGGCTCACCAGATCACCTGCATCGCCGGCAATTTGCTGGTGAGCGGCCGGAGAGTGTGTGGTGGCGGCAGTGGTGGGGGAGAGGCACGGTGTGTTGTGTGTGTGCGTGTTCTAACCTCACCGCCAGGGAGTGTGTGGTGGTGGTGGTCGGTGGTGGTGAGAGGCGCGGTGTGTGTGTGTTTTAACCACGCCTCCAGGGAGTGGTGGTGGTGGTGGTGGCGGCGGTGGTGGTGGTCGGTAGTGGTGAGAGGCGCGGTGTGTGTGTGTTTAACCTCACCGCCAGGGAGTGTGTGGTGGTGGCGGCGGCGGTGGTAGTGGTGGTGGTGGTGGTGGCGGTGGTGATGGGGGGGCGGGGTGGTGGTGTGGTGGTGGGGTGGTAGCGGTGGTGGTGGTGGCGGTGGTGATGGTGTGGTGGCGGTGGTGATGGTGGGGCGGGGTGTGGTGGTGGCGGTGGTAGGTGGTGGTGGTGGTGGTGGTGGCGGTGGTGATGGTGGTGGTGGCGGTGGTGGCGGTGGTAGTGGTAGTGGTGGTGGTAGCGGTGGTGGCGGTGGTGGTGGCGGCGGTGGTGATGGTGGGGGCGGGTGGCGGTGGTGCGGTGGCGGTGGCGGTGGTGGTGACGGTGGTGGCGGTGGTGGTGGTGGTGGCGGCGGGGTGGTGGTGGCGGTGGTGGTGGTGGTGGCGGTGGCAGTGGCGGCGGCGGCGGCGGTGGTGGCGGTGTGGCGGCGGTAGCGGTGGTGGCGGGTGGTGGCGGTGGTGGTGTGTCAGAGAAGGCTATGGGCAGTGGGTGGTGGTGTGGCCGATTTCGTTTTGTTGTCTTGTTGGTATCGTCGTTATTGTTGACGTCGGTGATTGTCGTTGGTCGTCGTTGTTGTCATTGTTGTTGTCATCGTGGGTTGTTGTTGTTGTCGTGGTTGTCATTGTTGTTGTCGTGATTGTTGTTGTTGTCGTCGTGATTGTTGTGTGTTGTGCAGTCTCGCACGCTGCTGGGCGGGCGTTCGGAGCGGAATGAGTTCCTGCTGCTCCACGCGTTCCACCAACGCAACTTCATCTGCCCCGACAAGACGTACAGCCGCAGGAACAGCGCGGCCGCCGAGGTAGAGCCACCACGCACGCACGGAGTCACCAACACAGAGCCACCAACACAGTCACCAACACAGAGCCACCACGCACGCACAGAGTCACCAACACAGAGCCACCACGCACGACAGAGTCACCAACACAGAGCCACCACACACGCACAGAGTCACCAACACAGAGCCACCACGCACGCACAGAGTCACCAACACAGAGCCACCACGCACGCACAGAGTCACCAACACAGGGCCACCACACACGCTCGGAGTCACCAACACAGGGCCACCACGCACGCACGGAGTCACCAACACAGGGCCACCACACACGCTCGGAGTCAACCAACACAGAGTCACCAACACAGGGCCACCACACACGCACAGAGTCACCAACACAGAGCCACCACGCACGCACAGAGTCACCAACACAGGGCCAACACACGCTCGGAGTCACCAACACAGGGCCACCACGCACGCACGGAGTCACAACCAGGGCACACACACACACGCTCGGAGTCACCAACACAGAGCCACCACACACGCTCGGAGGTCACCAACACGAGCCACCACGCACGCACAGAGTCACCAACCAGGGCCACCACACACGCTCGGAGTCACCAACACAGAGCCACCACACAGACGGAGCGGAGAGTCGCAGAGTTACACAGAGAGCCACAGACTCACCAAACACAGACTCACCAACACAGAGCCACAGACTCACCAACACAGAGAGCCACAGACTCACCAACGCACAGAGCCACAGACTCACCAAGACAGAGACTCAAAAACACAGAGTCACAAACACAAAGACTAACACTCACAACGCAGAGATCCATAGAGTTACATTCACAGACGCACAGACCCACAGACTCGCTCACAAACCGAGACCCACGTCTCACAAACGCAGAGATTCATAAAGTTACAGACACGAGACCCACATGATTACAGAACTCCGTGTGACGTCACCCCAGAGGTCGCAAACGGGTTTTGATTCCTTACCCGTACCCGTACCCGGCCGCACCACGGTACCCTACCGGCCGTACCCGTACCCTACCCGTACCCGGCCGGGTACGGTAGGTAGGGTCGGGTATAGGGTACCGATTGCGACCTCTGGGATGAAGCCTGTTGCAGGCGCGGGGGGTTGATTCTAGGAACTGAATTGTGAGAAGAGACAAGACGTTGGGAAATGAGTGACAAACGGTGACTCACCAGTGACTCACGGCCTACCCGTACCCGTACCCGGCCGCACCAGGGTCGCAAACGGGTAGCCGGGTATAGGGTACCCGGTTGCGACCTCTGGCTCACCCCCTCCACACCCTGACGGGTCTCCGGTGTGACGCCCCCCCCGCCAGGACGAAGATGAAGATGGCGAGCGGGGGAGGGGGAAGCGCAAGGCGGCCTACGCTGGAGGCCTCGTCCTGGAGCCCAAAGTCGGTACGTTGTTGCCGTCACGCACGGGTCTGTCCGCTGCTGGATGAATACGTGGGACGTAGCGTGTGTGTGTGTCTGTGGTGTGTATGTGCGTGTGTCGTGTGTGTGTGGTGTTGTGTGTGTGTGCGTGTGTCTGTGCGTGTGTCTGTGCGTGTGTGTGTGTGTGTCTGCGTGTGTCTGCGTGTGTCTGTGCGTGTGTCTTGTGTGTGTGTCTGTGGTGTGTCTGTGCATGTGTCTGTGCGTGTGTGTCTGTGTGTCTGTGCGCGTGTCTGTGCGTGTGTCTGTGCGTGTGTCTGTGCGTGTGTCTGTGCGTGTGTCTGTGCATGTGTCTGTGCGTGTCTGTGCGCGTGTCTGTGCGTGTGTCTGTGCGTGTGTCTGTGCGTTGTCTGTGCATGTGTGTGCGTGTCTGTGCATGTGTCTGTGCGTGTGTCTGTGCATGTGTCTGTGCGTGTTGTCGTGCATGTGTCTGTGCATGTCTGTGCGTGTGTCTGGCGGTGTCTGTGCGTGGGGAGCGGTGGTGTAGGGTTAGCGCGCGCGCGCTACGAACCCAGCGACCCGGGTTCGATCCCCCCCGCTCGCGTCTAAACAACAGCGGGGGTCCTGGGCTCTCCCTAAGATCGACGCGGTGCGGTGGTGGGGTCAACATCGCCACTGGGGAGACAAAGGCGGCCGGGCGCGGTGCTGGCCTCCACCCCCTCGTGTGCCACGGTGCGGCAGCCTTCACAGGTGCTGCTACTCGCTAACTGCACTTGCCCCTACAGTCCGTTCAGAGGCTACACCTTGTCTTTGTGCGCGTGGCAGGATTTTACGACAAATTCATTCTCCTGCTGGATTTCAAAGCCTGTACCCGTCCATCATCCAGGAGTAAACATCTGCTTCACCACCGTGGGTGTCAACACACACCGCCCGGGCAGGTGACGTGCG